GTGCTTACTGACTGCCCCCATCTCAGCAGCTCCAGAAAACCACCTAAAAGGGGTAGGAAACATCTAAAAGGCTCTGAGGGATGGAAAGYGGCAGCAGAGCAAGAGTGGACAGATTTCTCCACCATCCTACACAACTCAGCTGACACTGGATCCTTGCAAGGCATGGAYGTGAAACCCTTCTGGATGAAGAATRGGGCTGACCACAGAGACTTTGCTGCAGGCCACTGATCTGTGAAAGATCAAGGTGAGAAAGTTATTGTGAAAGGCAACAAATCTAATGCAGCATGTAGAAACTAAGAAWAGAAAATGTCTTCAGATAAAGGTCGGCAAACTGTTGCCAGTTGGGTTTTTCTGCTAGTCCTGTGGGATCCCTGTTGGTTTAACCATGAGTCTCTGACCTTTTYCAAGGGCAAGAAGTCAGCCAGAGTGGTTGACCATATCAATTCATACTGCTGCTTCATAATTTATACTGCTTATTTTTACATTGTTCCAGAAGAAGGACAGAATGAAGGACACACAGAAGAAATGCTTTGAGTGAAATAGTCTCAGTGCTAGAAATCATCTTTGTGCTCCTTACTCCACGCCAGCTTGAGCCCAAGCTATCGATCAAAGCACAGGCTGCAGACACTCAATGTTGGGACCAGAGGTGGCTTTTTGCTGTGCCCAAATTTACATCCCCGTGTTCAAGGCTCCCCTTAATACCCTGCCAGAGCCCCCAGAGCCGCTGTRGCCGTGCTCTTCCTCTCAGCACAAAAATATGGCCAGGAGAGGAAAGGGCTGAGTCAGCTCTGCTGGAGTGTTGCTGCCATCAGAGCAGCCCTGGGGAAACTCTTCCAGCATTCCATGGGTACCATCCCATGTTTGTTTTGTTATCAGAGCTCCCAATGTTTTGTGGACAAGAATTTTTTTTTTTTTCAAATTAAATCACATTCATTGGCCTATTTAAAATTAATAGAAAATAGTATTACATATTAGATAATATAAATATTAGATAATAGAAATAGTATTAATAGAAAATTAAATATTTGGTTTATAACCAAGCACTCAAACACCAATTTATAACATAAACCTTGAAAGGTAACAAAACCTGGAGCCATAGCCTATCCAGTTCCCAGTTTGGTGAGACTTCCTGYTCTCCAGTGCCATCCTCAGCATTACCAGAAGCCATCTGACACCAGGTTTCTCTACCTAGGACTTGTCTGGAGCCCACTTGCTCACACTGCAATCCTCTTTCTCTTGTTTTTCCTACTTATCCAAAGCACATCCAACTAGTCACAGGGGAAAAAAATGAAATAACATATCTCAACTCTTTTATTTGTTCCCTTCTTAAAATAAGTGTTCTTCATCTCAGGACTCATTAGCTGACTTCAAAACTGACAGAAAAGTAAACTATTTTGTTCAAACACATTGTTATGTTTTGTAGATTTTTCTTTTCTGACTCAGTTATTGCTCACTAATTATGAGTGCAATCTAACAAACTCATCCTCCTTCCAGAAGAAAAAAAAATAAGTAATGCCATAGAGGATTCTTACTTGTTTTGACAAAAAAAAAAAAATCTGAAATCTTCCATTTGAAAAGGATTATCTTTGAACAATCTTTCCAATTTCTATTCAGGCAAGCTATCATTTTTTCATTTTCCACATAGTTAACTAATTTTCTTTTGTATGCTTCAGATATCAGAAATCCCTTTTCTCTAATTTCATAGAGAATTTCACTTCATTTTGCTTTATTCCTTGCCCTTTTTCTTTAAGATGGTCAAGAGAAATGGTCATCATCTGTAGTCTTAGAAAATACTTGAATTTCACATGAAAAATTTGGGAGAATACATTACCCTTTCTTTCAAAATGTACCTGATTCCTCATCTGCCTTTTTTTAAAAATAAAATHTATTGTGACTTGGGTCATTCACATTCCCCCTCTCCTGAACCATCGTAATGTGCAAAATAATCCAGTAACTGAACAGCCCTAGGAAAATGTGGATGACGCACACATCCACAGAAAATGTTAAAAAAAAAAAAGCAAGCAAACTGCTTTATTCAGAAATAATAAACTACAGAGCAATGGAAGTCAAAGAGTAATTTAATGTGATTTGTCTTTATGCATCTTAATTCTAATTCAACAAAGCATTTGAGTACTTTTGCACTTAATTTCTTTGCAGAATCATGGTTCTGCAAGTAGTGTGTTACCAATAATAAGATGCATATGCAGCAATTCAGTTCCATATACTTTAATACATAACACTATAAAATTAATTTTTCTATTTTCTCTGTGATTTTATTATTACAATGTTTATAGCATGTAAGTTATTTTACTTCAATATGAACAATTGCAACATTTTAATTTGCTGAGTTTTGCCCTAACATTTTGTAGTAAAGTTGTCTTCATTGGAGTTGGTTCAGCTGTTATTTGGAGAAAAAAAATATAGTTCTGTAGCTGTACTGTTCTGTGAGTTATCATATATTATTTCTATTTTAGTATGCAATCTGGTGATAAATCAAAAATCCTTTGCCATTATAAAAGAGTAATTATGAACAGAAAGATAACTCTTAATCCCACACCTTTTATTAAGACAAACAAACCTAGTAAAARTAATCTACAGAAAGAGGAGTGTCTGCTGACAAAACCTTAATACACACTTGCAAACCCTGTCTTGTGTTGAATGCATCTTAGTTTAAAAAAAGAAGAAAACATTTGAAATAAATATTGAAAAGATTTAGATTTAGATTTAGATTTAGATTTAGATTTAGATTTAGACAAATCCTTTGTCTAATTTTTCTTCAAAAAAAAGGACAAACTTCTATGCTGTATGAAACAAGCCTTAAAAATTGAAAGTCAATTTGTTCAGGGGTTACTTAAATTATACAGGCCAAAAATCAACWGAACTTTGTTCACATCAAATAATTTATTTTTTGTTTATTTATTTSCTTTGGCTAAATGAAGAAATATGTCAGCACTCTTCCAAAAATAAGGCAAATACAGGGAATATTAGTAATCAGACAATGTGCCTATTCCTCTATGAACATGGTGAGCATTAATATTTCAGAAAATACAGACCTGCTGTAAAAAAAAAAAAATTAGAAAAACTTTGTGATTTCTTCTGTCTTAATATTCAAGCCAGCAATCAAGCATTGCTGTGACCTTCATGTGAAAATCTGCCTCCTTGGAAATAATTTGAAAACTTTGCTGGTGGCTTCTGTGGGGCTGGAGTTTCACGGCTGGTGCTGTCACAGGGCAGTGGGGTACAGGGATAATGAGCCTGACAGGAGACTTCAAGGCTCCTGGCAGACATCAGGAAATCATTTCACAATGCAAACTTACTTTATAATGGTTAGAGACAATTTCTTAATGTTATKAATGTATTATCTGGGCTGAGTGGACCTAAATTTGTAATGCAATTTACTTAACTTTCAAAATATGGTAAATCATGCTTTGTATCATATTTATTAATGTGGATGAAGATAACGGGCTTTGTTCTTTAGCCATAAATCAAGCATAAGTCCTACAAAACCAATAAAACACAAAGTGACGTTGTTTGTATTATGTCACAAAGAATTAGAAAATTATTGCATCCTTTTCCATCCTCAAAATTCCCAATCAATTCCCAATATCATGCCTAAAAATTTCACTCATCCAGCCTGGCCTTGAACACCTGCAGGCATTGGAGAATCCACAACTTCTCGGTGCCACCTGTGTCTCACTATTCTCACAAAAAAGAATTTCTTCCTAATATCTAATCTAAACCTGCTCTCTTTCAGTTTGAARTCTTTCCCCCCAAAACAATATTACATTACAACACAAGAAATGAAATTGATTTTAATCCAGTTAGCCACAAGAGTGTAAGAATTTACACAAGATTTATCTTTATCTCCTCAAATGACTGATTTTGCAAAAGCTTGAGTGTTTATTTTTTTATTTTACAGCAAGTCACTGAGAAATGATTCTTCAGAAGCAAATGAAATAAAAGCATACTTTTAGTCCCTAGCCAGATACCAAAATTACCACWCTTACTTGAAAAAGTGTCATTTTTCTTAACATAGCATGTTCAGTTTTACTGACTGAGCCATCATTTGCTGAGATGCTGTAGAAAGCCCACAAATGGTCAGACATAAATAGGTAAATCTTTACTGTTCTATACATCCACACAAAACATATAATGGGAAGAGAAAATTAAAACCACACAATCAATTTTGAATGTGCTATCAAAACAGACTTGTCTGCATTTCTTGTTAAAAAATCATGAAGTTTAACAACACTCAGAAAGCAGTTTTTATGAGTAAGAAGTAGTATTGTACTCTTCATTGCCACCTCTCTGAAAATAAACACTTTAGTAGTTYATTTTCTGTAGTGAACAAGAATTTGAAAGTAATTTTTCAATAACTCAGAAGATTTGCCACTTATTTGCCCTGTGGATTAATTGCCSAAGGAATACATTAGCTAGAAGCAAAATTTTCAAGGAGTCATGACCAACCCTCAGTTTTACCAAATATATCTATGTGAGGCAATGACGGGACCCTGTGAGAAAGCCTTTGCTGCAAAAGTGAAATTTTTTGTTTTGCCATACAAGCAGACAAGAGAAACCAGCAGAAGAAATAAAAATCTCTTGTTCAAAAACTGAGATAATCCTTTAACTTGCAGATAACTTCCTTGAATCTAAGGCACTTATGTGTAAAAATGCAGAGAGGTGCCATGTGGCAACAAGAACAGCCACAGGACAAGGACAAGCTCCACTCTATGTCACTCCTGTCACCCAGAGGTGATGCACAAGGAATGCCACTGAAGCAGACATTCAGAAACTTCTCAAAACTGTGAACTGGCCTTGGGTGGCCCACGATTTCAATGCCTCTGCGGTGAAATTTGAGGGCATTTTTGATGTGTTGCCTATCGTTTCTGTAACTGAAGCATTAAGCTGCACAGGGATTTTCTGTTTGCTGTGTCCAGAGAACAGAAATCAGTGTCTGTTTTCTGTGGATGTCTAGCASGCAAGGAAGCAAACAGAAAATTTTAGTTTGCTCCATCTCCTCTTAGTGAAAAAGCTGGGTGGTTTCTCTGCTGCTCCTCTGGGGTTCTTGCCCCATCTTTGGGGCAGACAGAGGGGAAGAAGTGGTGCCAATGACAGTGAAGCAGCCCCTGGAGGCGTGTGATGATTTCATAGTCAGGAAGGGCCAGGCTGGCAGTGTCGAGCCCCAGCATCCGCGACACCACCTCTCGGAAATCCGCCAGCTGCAGGAGCAAGCAGAAAGGGCTAAATTAAATAGGAAACAAAGGAGATGATCAAGAAAACATGCACATATATGCACACAAACAAACACAAGCACTTGTATATCAGGGCTAAATACAGGCATTCCTGCTGTTGCTATAATACAGAGAGCAGAGGAAGACAGAAACAGCCCTTTGAGGCCTAAATCAAATCACAAAACACAAACATYTGACACATCAAGTATCTCAAACACAAAACTTTCAAATACAAAGTTTTCAAGAGTTTCTTTAGTATCGTTCACAGGCATATCTTCCCTGCTGACTCAGCTGCAAAAATTGAGGTAAACACAWTTTTACTTGACCTGATGACCACAACTGGTTACTGGTGGGCACATCCCAGAGCCCAGGCTAAGATGCTCATCCTTGAGCATGATCTGCCACTATCCCCTCCAACTTACATTTTCTTGAGAAAAACACAGCAGAAAGCAGGAAGTTAGAAGAAAGGTGGAAGTTTGGCCCATYCTGTGGTCTGACTTTGATTTGAATCAGGATATAGCCCAAATTCAAGATGCAGCTTAGAAGAATGSTTGTTTTTCTTCTGTGTGTAGTTGCTGAAAATGTCATAGGAATGGTATTTGGTAAAGTAATTAAAGACACTGKCTTTCTCTCTGCAGTTCCAAATGGGCAGATCAGATGTCATCACTGCTGATTTATTCTTCTCAACTCACATTATGGATCATTATCAGTCAAACTTCAAGGCCTCTTCAACTGACTATAAATTACACAGCCAAATGCCTTAATACTCCTTATCATCAACACACAAAAGATGAAAACATTACTATTAGAGGAAACATGCTTTTCTTGTTATCTATCTGAATGCCAAGATCCCCATTCCCAAGCATGAAAGAGACTCAAAAGACCACAGAATCATCAAAACCATCAAGAAACTGGACTCATGTTCTGGTGGGGCAGCATCCTCACTCCACCAATCATGCCAAGGGCTAAGGGTGAGATAAACACTCTCCTGAAATGTCTCCAACCCCAAGATCATTGTGCAGAATTCTGAAGATTCACAGATTCCTCACAGTTAGAATGTGTGAAAAAAAGGGGTTTGAAACTCTCCTGAAAACAAGGACTCAGTTCCAAGAYTTTGCCAAAGACAGTTTGTTTCAAACCCCAAGGAGCTGCTGTCATTTCAGAAACACAAATATGAAAACCAATACAGARTGGGGCTGARGRCTGGAGTCCTCRRCACAAGACAGACGTGGAMCTGTTAGAATTRTTCCTGAGGAGGGCTACAAAGATGATCAGAGAACTGAAGAACAACTTGTATGAAGTCAGGCTGAGAGAGATGGCATTGCTCAGCCTGGAGAAGGGATAGCTCCAGGGAGACCTCGTAACAGCCTGCCAGTACCTGAAGGGAGCTTATGAAAAAAAAAAAAAAAAAAAAAAAAAAAAGGGAGAGCGTCACTTTACACGGGCATATAACGATGGGAAAAGGGGCAGGGGCATTCAGCTAGAAGAGGAGAGATTTAGATCAGATGTTAGGAAGGAGTTCTTTACTGGGAGGGTGGTGAGACTCTGGAACAGGTTTGCCCAGAGAGGTTGTGGATGCCTCTCTCTGGAAGTGTTCAAGGCTAGGTTGAATTGGGTTTTGGACAATGTGGTCTAGTAGAAGGTGTCCCTACCCATGGCAAGTGTGTAGGAACTAGATAATCTTTAAGGTCCCTTCCAACCCAACCCATCCCATGATTCTGTGATTTGAGAATTCACTCCCAGCTATCTGTATTACCGAGGCACTGCAATGTCTCGGATCAAATGTTGGAACAAAGTTATGCCAAAACCCCAAAGTTCCCATATATTATCTTCTACAATGGTTCAGGAGGTCACTGATGCGGAGCTCTGGCAGTGTGCTAAGCAAGTGCTATTCAGCAGAAGCTAAAGATAGTTTTTAAACATCTGGATYGCAGACAGGATAAGGAGGCAGCAAAGCTGGAATTTGTTTCCACACAGACTTTACATTAAAAGATCAAGGCAGGTCTCTGCAAAGATACAGCCTTTGGATGAAGGAGAGAAATAATAAAGGATAAACATCACTAAAGACTCAAACATAAAGGCATGCTACAGACAACAGCACTCCTACTAAATTTTCTTTGAACCTTCAATAAATAAAATTATCAGAAGTGAAAAAACAGGAAATGAATGCAGTTTAGAGCATTAGCCAAAGATATTGGGATCGGAGAACTAAAAAGCAGATACTATATTGTCACACTGTAATTACAAGAAAGTAGAAGGGGTCTTACTCCAACAGAAAGAAAACCAAAAAAAGTCCAAAGTATATTGCAACAATATTCAAGTGATTTGAAATGCCTTGGATTCAGATAGTAAAAATTCAACACTTGTGTGCTTTTAGCAAAATACTTAATGTATGACTCCATGGAATAATTTCTTGCATGTAATTAATATCTTCTTCTCTGTGCTGGATGCTTTGTTTCCTTATGAGATGCATGAAGAAATTAAATTTTCCTGCCAAAWTTCTAACCTTCGTTATAAAACAAAACAGTGCTAAAGATTTCCAGGGGAAAAAAAGACCCCTAGGTTGCTGGCCTTTTCTCCATGTGAATAAAAACACTTTTTCTTTACTAATTTTCTGAAATARCATTCTTAAATTTCATCCAGAGTCATTGTTAGTGCCAACATACAGTATAAATTTTTTAGCTGGAAAATCTAGTGAAGTCCTAAGTAGCTAAAATAAATTTCAAATAACMAATTTTTTACTTTAAGGAAACATCCCATTTGCTTTCAATAATTAAGCCATCAATAACATTTCTAAAATACACAGCATGTAGGGCAATAGCATACATCCTTCAAAAGTTTTTGAAGTCTCACACAAACTACTTACAGACTCATTGAATCATTCTGTTTGGAAAAGGCCTGGAAGATTGTCAAGTCCTACTCTTAACCCACATTTCGAAGTCCATCACTAAACCACGTCCAGGTTTCTTTTAAGTACCTTTAGAACTGGTGACTCAACCACACCCCTGGCAACTTTTTCTAAAGCCTGACTACCCTTTCAATGAATAAATTTTGCCTAATACCCAATCTGACCCCCCCTCCCCCAGAATAATTTGAGACTGCTTCCCTTCATCCTATCATTTAGATTTGTTAAATCTCTTACAACTGGCAAGGAGAAGATGCAAGAGAYGGATGTGTGAGAAACAAAAGGAAAMWGATGAGAAGTTGGTAMRTTATACACCTAAGATATTCAGAAAAAAATACATACTTTAGGCTTTTATAGCATTTTAATACTTCTCTAAAAGGTGACGKAATATTTTGTGATGAGCAAAGAAAATAATGCCTATATTTACTATTCTTTTGCAAAACTTAACTTGTGGRATAGCTTTGCAATCACAATTGTCACTCCAGCTCACAAGAGTGAGCTAAAATTTCCTTGGTTTATAATGTTTGGAACAGTTTTAAGCACAGCTGGATAGCTGCTCCACCTCTACCATTTTCTTACATTCTAAGGGACACTTAGCACTTGTCAAATACCKATAAACCTACCTGTCTCTCTCTTTTTGCTACTTCTGCAAGGGTTGTTTTAAGCACCTTCATCTCACTGGTAAGTGCTTCTAACATATTTTTGTTTTTTTCTTTATCTTCAGTAGCTTTGCGCTCCTTTAAAACAAGTTCTGATTTGGCAGATCTAAGCTGTTTCTCAGCTTTTTCTTTCATTCTTTCCAATCTGTCTTGRGACTTATTGAGTTCCTCTATTGCTCTGTTCTGCTCCAAAGTTTTGATCTGCAAAAAGATAGGGAAGTGTTAAATACGTTGTCATCTAACTTGAACAAATAATAAATTATCAGGAGTGGTCACAAATAAGCACTTTAGTGTGGTTTCTTTTGGGTTCTTGACTAAAATATCACATGCACATATGAACTATAAAGTTATTAAAGGAGACTATCCCATTTCAACACAATTAACAATAATATTTTTCTTTCAAGATAGTTAATTCTCTACAGATTTTGTGAAAAGAGCTCTCTGGACAGAAAAGAAAATCCATGGTGAGCATTCACTCCATTCCAGCCCCTGGAAAAATAGCGTGAAAAAGAGTTGCCAAATGTTTTGCTGGCAAAAAATGGTTCAGTGGGAACACGCACATAGTTGTCTATTTCACTCCATCAGCCWCAAGACACAAAGTCACATAAAATCAATCTTTTTTGCTCCAAGTAGGGGCAGGCTGTCCACTGCAAAGGCAGCATATCAGGCTGCAAACTACCTGTGTTCACCTAAGTGAAATCAGGAAATGTATTACTACTGCAATGTAATGAAACATAGAAATAATCAAAATTTAGTARCTTGCCTTCTGTATTCCCCCCATATCTATCAGAACAGATCTTCTGTGAGCAACACTTGGGAAAATACAAGATGACAGTCATGTCAACAGGAAAGAAAGGGATGTGTATATTGTATTTTTCTTACACTAGCCTGAAAATTGACATTGTTTTTTGCAAATGCTACTTTGCATATCAAGAGAAGTTGCAAAATGCACAAAACCTTGTGATATTATACTTGCTTTTGCCACCTGGTTTTGAGCAGTTCTCCACGAACACATTTATTTTAAATGAATTCCAGCTGTATCCAACTGGAATAGAAAAATGGATAGAAGCACAAATGTAATCTTTTAACTCACCTTAAGTTCACTGGTTTCAGACAGCTTGGCTTTGAGATCAGTATTTGTTTCTCTYGCCAGATCAAGCTGCTTCTGTAGCCTTTCTATCATCTTATGTAACTTTGTGACAGTGAGATTGGCCTCGTCCCTTTCCGCAGCTAAGGCAGCCCTTACTTGCTTCTCTYCTTCCAGCTGAGTTATTTTCTGCCGCAGAAGGTTCATGTGCAGCTCTCTGCTTTCAAGTTTTTCTTTCTGAGCCTTCAACTTGATTTCCAAACAGAAGGACATTTGAAAAATTGCATGTGAAAGACAATGCACATAATTGCACATAATTGCMAATTTAATCGTCTTGTTGCATATATAACATGAACTCCTTTTCCTCTCTTGGAAACTCTGTGAAGTATCAGCATATAAACCCTAACTTGATACTTCTTGTATCACCAATTCATTGTGCTTCTCTGTTGTTTTAAACCTTAAACAGATCCAGTTCCCAGCTCTGTACCATTCTGACAAGCCTAAATCCAAAAGATTTCYCTATGTCATAACAGGATGACAGAGRGATGCTTGAACAATTTTGAGCAGACTTGTTCCAGCAGGAACAACTGAATGAAAAAACTGTTCTTGTTGGAAACATTGAAACTCCCAATGAAGTAACCCACTGGTTTCTAGAGAAGTTTGTGCAATGTGTCTCCCTCCCCGGCAGATCCTTTTACATTTAAATTTAATGGCAGTTGTTTACAGAATTACAAATGTGTATTAAAAACTAGGCACATACACAGACACACACCCAAAACTTCATAGTTTGTTCTTAAGAAGCTAGGAAAGAAGTATCGTATTCAACTAACTGGTGGGTTTAGTTATTTCAATGTGCAGACTTTCTGCACAGTTTGCATTCATTATCTTCTTTTTAAGTGATGGACATCTTTGAAATTCCTCACACAATACATTCTGCTGACTCTAGCAAGCCACTGCACAATTATAGCCATATGTTTATCTTTGAATGGTGTGCCTTTTTTCCTTACCTTCCTTCTGAGGCCATATGCCACGGTCTTGTTTTCAACCACAGCCTCACCTTCCAGTTTCACCAACTGCTCTGCCCGGGCCAGAATCGCATCCATAGTCATATCAAATCCAACCTCTGCTGCTACACTGTCCAGCTTCATCTTCTCATTAAGTTGCTCCAGAAACTTCAGATACTAAGATGGGGAAAAATAAGAAAACTTCATTAAAATTCATTAATTTAAATTAATGGCTTTTAAATTTAAAATTTAAATTTTAAATTTAAATTTTTAAATTTAAATTTTTGGCTACAGCAGCAGCCAAAAATACATAGCCAAGTACACTACCCACAGGAAATAATACTGAAAGGGTGTGTTAATAGGGCACCCTTCTGACACAACAGCAAATTCTCCATATGCCCTCTTATTTTAGTCAACACTTACTTTGTTTATTCATACAATTTTAAAAAATCCTAGTAGTCATGATYATCTAAAAACATAAAAGAATCAAAGACACCAAGATCTTGAGAGATTGCAGACCAGATAATGTTTTAGAGAAAGAAGTAGAAATGAGAGAAAGTTTTGATATCCGCGAATCATTGAGAGCTACTGATGCATTTACAAGGACTTCTTTTAAGCTGTTTGGGGTGCTTTTTGGTTTTGGGGCTTGGTTGGGGTTTTTACTTGGGTTTTTGGGGTTCTTGTTTTTGTTTTGTTGGGTTTTTTTTTGTTTTGGTTGGGTTTTCTTGTTTTGTTTCACAATAACAGACATGGAACTCAAAAGCTTAGCTACATTTTCCAACTGCAATTGTTGGTCAAAGACAAGATATTACAATTCCCTACATGATGTCTGACTTTGCTTTTTGCATTACTCGCTGTGCTCCAGGTAATCAAAGCAACACCACGAGCTGTGTCTCTGCCTTTAGTGACTTCTATTCAAAAGTAAATAATGTGTGCAACTACTTTTTGTTTCTCAAGCATCAAACCATCTTGCATCAGGTCTACAGTTAGTAATTCCTCTTCCAAGTGCTTCAGTTGATCGTGGAAATTCTCGCAACTTTTTTCAGCTTTCTGGCTCCTCTCCAGAGCTTCATGGTACAATCTGGTCTGATTTTCCAAAGCTTCAGTCAATTTAGCTAATTGGGTTTCAAGCTGAGACACCATCTAGGGAGCAAGCAAACCAACAAAACATATGGGGTTAGGTGGGTGTGGAGATGCTAGAAAGATATRAAAGGTATGTCAACAAATTATTAAAAATAGGGTAAAATATTTATCTCTAAAATAAATGCTTTTAGAGGACAAAAAGAAAAATCTGCTGTAACCACAAGGAAAAAATGTCAGAGGTGGTGATATGAGAAACCTAAAAGTGAACTGCAGATACCATACATAAGATGAATCAAATAACTAAAATGTATTGCTATCTATTAAAAAAAAACCCAATACAAATTAATTTAGACTCAAAAATTCCAAACATATGGGAACAACACCACCTGGCAGTCAGCTATCATTCTTTAAAATAAGCCAGTAAAGTCACTGTTCACTTGAGGAGCTGACTAGAAAAAGCATGCAAGTTATTTAGAAAATACATGCAGCATGTAGGGGAGAATGTAAATATGGATAACTAAGTCTCAGAGGAGCGTTTCTGAATGATTAACTGTTAAGCAGTGTTTAACTAAAAGATTTTGCTAAAAAAAGAAAAATAGTAATTTCTGYAATCAAGCCAGAGCCCAAGGATAAAAGGGTAAAATCTCATAAAAAGCAACTGAATAACTTTGAAAACGTTTCTAGTTTTTCACTATTAACTTTACAATACCTTCATACAATGTACAGGATTTTAAGTAGTAAAATATTTCTAAAACAAATGCTYGAAAGTGTCTGGTTACACTACTGCCAAATACTGAAAGGCAGTTCTATAGAYGAAGTTGCTTGTTTCCCTCTCTCTTCTCCTTATTGTCATATAATTATTTGGTTACATAATTAATTATATTGTATTTGTAACTCAGTGTTCAGACACTCATCTCCAAGCAGCCTCTTCATTTTTAGCATCTGGTTGGTTCCTGTTAATAAAATGAACAGTAAGTACACAAAGCTCTCATTAATTTTAATGGCACTGAAAGGTTTCCAATTCAAACTGCAATTAAATACAAACAATAGTTTTCACCCAGCTTGCCTAAAAATACTGAGAAATTACTGCTGCTTATATGGTAGACAACACTAAACAATATAAATCTACAAGACCCCACACACATTTTATGTTTTCTGCATCTCGCATTACTTAGCAGGAATAAGTGTCAGTAACTTGCTCCCCCAGAGATGCGCTGCTGCCTGAGAACCAGAGAACTTTTTATCAGGCTGCAGAGTGGCTGCAAGGGAGGTTTAGAGGTTTCAAACATCCATAGGCACAAGAAAGTGAAGGACCATACCACAGAAGCTGAGAGCACAAAACCACCAAGCTGGCATTTTATCATCCTGGTGTAACTTTCATTCTTGGCTTAGGGACAGCCCACAACGTAGGCATTTCCTAAATCAGAGTTGCACCCTTTTTACCCACCCATGCCTGATCCTTCCTCKTACAAAGGCTGCATTTTTGGTCTCKCATTTCTGACCTCCCCARCTKCTCATTCCTRWGACTTGAGCAGCTCARTCAGMCAGCCTGCAAAATTAAATCCCACTTCCAGCTTTTTGTTTTAATGTAGCTCCAGATCATTTCAAACTAAGACCATTTTAATATGACAGCAAGTTGGGTAGGAGTRTGGATCTGCTGGAGGGCAGRAAGGCTCTGCAGGGGGATCTGGGCWKGCTGGATCAATRGGCTGATGMCACTGGWGWGAAGTTCAACAAGGCAAAGTGCCAGGTCCTGCCCCTGGGTCACARCATTGCTACAGACTGGGCAGAGTGGCTGGGAAGCTGAATGGTGGAAAAGGGGGTGCTGGTCAATAGCTGGCTGAAACTGAGCCACCAGTGTGCCCAGGCATTTTGTAGGGTTTTTTTTAATACTTCATCAAAATGCACAGGGTATTTTCAAGAAGTATTTCCAGCCTTGGACAGAATACAAAACCACTTGCTATCATTAAAAACTCTCACATCTGCAGGAGATGCTGGAATTTTAAAATCTGGCAAGGACACCAAAGCTGGTTTTYAGTGTCTCACTGAAAGCAGCTTTTGATTTACTGTCTGACTTTTAATTTTATAATGGTCCTCACTGATGAAATTTAAAAATGTAAGCAAGTGAGAAACTTCAGTGCAGTGTCARACTGCATTCTGACTCACCTTCCCCCTGAGCTGTCCCTTCTCTATCTGTACATTCAAATACACCTTTGCAAACACTACCAGCCCAAACACCTCAAGACAGAGCCTTCCTATCACCCTCTCCTGGATGATGAACAATGTTCAGCTCTAAGTGTAAAAATACACTTTTATTTTTAGGTGCGGGTTTTGAGGAGTGGAGGGAAAGAAGTTGCCTGTGGCAACTCATCAATTATATCTGCTTTGAGAAAGAAGTCAGTTCTTGAAGTCACCATTGTAGCAGCAAATCCATACTTGTTCACATGTTTCACTAAATCATAGCAACCAAACAGCCACCTTGATGTCTGCTGGCGCAGAAACCAAATTTCAAGTGTTGGAACTGAAAGACCATTCCAAGTCTTTTCTTCTTAACAGCATCTATTATTATTTTAATCTCTGAACTCTTCCTACTTAGTAAAACATAGATGCTTTTCAGCTATTACCTTAAATCAATAGAAAACAAAATTAAAGGTTTCTGTAATTCCAAAACCTAAGCAGAAGGAATCAGCACTGTACCAGATGAATAAAATGAAACAGGATCCAAGGAGAATAAATACATACATTGGGCAATTGCAGTAGTGCTTTGAGTAGAAATAGACTTACTATGTCTTTATTCTCCTCTTTGCAATTTATTTCTCTGATCCTCTCCAAAATGGCCTTCTCAGAAGGTTTAATTATTGCAGATTCACAGTGGAGCAGGGTAGCAATTTCTTCTTTAAAAGCTTCTAAAGAGCTCTGAGCAGTCCTGGCCTCTTCTCTGCTGCTCTTCAAGCTTCCATCTAACTCCCTGGAAGAYTTCTTCAGATTGTGCAATTCCTGCTTTGAGGTGTCCAAAGCTTTCTGGTTGACAGCCAGYTTCTCTTGGAGGTTTCTGATCTCCATCTCTAAATTCTGTCTCTTTGTTATAGCAATGTCAAGATCCTAAAGTGCATGAAAAATTAAACCAGATGTTTTTAATCAGTTATAAACCCTCTCCACCATACACAAATTAAAGAATAACTCGGGAACAGGTACTGCAGACAGAGAACTAGGACCCATATTCCTCACATTTGCTCAACATCAGAGTTTCTTAGGATAACTGACACTTAAATTGATGAAAATGTGAAGCCTGCTGTGATCACACTAAAGATTAACCTCTTATAGTGACTTGAAATAAAGAATACATAAATAAAATTTGCAGGTGAGTGAAACCATTTTTTTTTTATTTTAAAACTATTGAAATCTTACTTTTCCATCCAGATAACAAGACCTGAAAAACAGGTAGCAAACAAGATGTAACACAAATAAAGCCAAAGTACTACAGCTTAGAGGGGAAAGGATAGGACAGGATAGAATAGAATATTTCAGTCAGAAGGGACCTGTAGTGATTATCAACTCCAACTGCCTGACAATTCAGAGATGATTAAAATAATGGACACAATCTCCCTGAGTATAGTGATAAGAGATGATCTCTGAGATCAGCTTATCTGAATGTGACAGCAATTCCTGAGATCATTTATTCACAGAAATGAGACCTGACCAAACAGATCAAGGATTGGTTGGGAAAGAATAAAATATAGCCAACACATATAAATCTGTATCAGTTGTATATAAATATTGAACCAACAAAACAGAGCAGAGAGAATTGTGTATCCTGACCCAGGACACCAAAACAAAYTATGAGAGAAAAGATAAAGAAATATAAACATCTAAACATAAAGAAATAAAAGCTTGTGAGCATCTTTYCTTTGCCCAAAATACCAATATTAAGAGTGCTTACACAAACACACACAAGAAAAATATTTGCAGCAAAACCAACAAAGTATGGCAAAGACTAAGCCTTCATTCCTCAAGGCTTTTCTGATTAGTAAGAACAAACGGAAAGGATATTCACACATGACACAAMAGGAAAGAATAATACTTCACAAAATATATTTTGTGAATAAGACACAAAATTATTACAGAGGATGGAATATTTGTCAGGGAGGGATTGGATTCCTCTAGAGGTCTCAGTGTTAAATAGAGGCTCAGTAAGTGCACTGATCTGAGTTAAGATTAYRCACACTGGAGTTAAAGAATTGTTCMTGGAATAGTTATGAATATGGTGATTACYCAAGGGTCTCTCAGGGWCTATGTGTGCTTGCTGTGGAGCATWGTATGTCATTTGTATTAATGGAATATTTGCCAAACAAGCAGTAAATTTGGAAGCATTTTTGTAGATCACCAGGGAGGATGGACAAAAAAAATGGAGTTTGCAGGGCACCTTTAGAAAATAAAATGTTAAAATATGATACTAAAAATACTAAAATTTTTAATAGCTGCAAAARGGAAAACATGCATAAACATATAAACACAACCCCTGTCATTTAGGAAATTATTTGTTATTACACCTTTCTGAAGTAATTTTAGAACTGTTTTAAAAACAAATGTTGGCCTGATTCCTTGCCAATTTCTCTTTTTCATTCTAGACAAGTCCTATTAATAGAAAATTCCCACCTGTGCTCAGAACTACATTATGGTAATTACAGCMAAGAATGAAGAGTCATTTATTTCAATTACAGTTCTCAGCAGTGCCTATTTTTCCTTTCAGAAAGGCAGTGCTAAAATGATTTGCCAGTACCAGGGAGCTTACCTAATCACCATCTTGTTAAACTGTGGACATCTGAAAACAAACATCGCTTATTCAAAAGATCAAGGCATAAAATAAGGAAGTGTAAGCCACCAAGCAGTGGCTGAAAATGGCCTGGCAGAAAAGGACCTGGGGGTGTTGGTCAACAGCAGCTCAACATGAGCCAGAAAGAAGGCCACTGGCAGCCTGGCCTGGAATGGGAATAGTGTGGCCAGCAGGAGCAGGGCAGGGATTGTCCCCTGTACTCAGCACTGGTGAGGTGTCACCTTGAGTGCTGTGTTCAATTTTGGGCCCCTCACTACAGGAAGGACATTGGGGGGCTGGAGCGTGTCCAGGGAAGGGCAACAGCGCTGGTGAAGGGTCTGGAGCACAAGTTTTACAAGGAGCATCTGAAGGGTCTGGGGGTGTTTAATCTGGAGAAGAGGAGGCTCAAGGGAGACCTTGTCACTCTGCAAGTGCCTGAAAGGAGGTTGGACCAGGTGGGGGTCGGTTTCTTCTCCCAGTTAAGAAACAGTAGGACAAGAGGAAATGGCCTTGAATTGTGTCAAGGGAGGTTTAGATTGGTTATCAGGAAAAAAAATCTTCATCAAAAGAGTGCCAAGCACTGGAACAGGCTGCCCAGGGAAGTGGTGGGGTCACCATCCCTGGGGATACCTGGAAGACTCGTAGATGCAGTACTTAGGGGCATGGTTTAGCAGTGGAATTGGCAGTGCTGGGTTAACAGCTGGACCCCATGATCTTCGGCTGGTCTTTTCCAACCTAAATAATTCCATTAATTCCAACACCCCAATCAGCATCATGGTCTCACTACACTACAGTCAACTACAGATCCATATACAGAAATGAACTCAYATTACTCAACAAGAAGATATTAAACAGAATGCAGGTATCTTCCAGATAAATTCTTACACCAGCTGCACTTCCAGTTACTACTGTTATACCATAAAGGCTGTAAATTAGTTTGCTCTTATCTCTTGTGTTCTCTAATGATTCAATCTGGAAACACCTGTAATGCCTGCTGAAACTTGTCTCTAATATGTATTTTCTTAATTACATCTTATAAATAAAAAAATAAACAAAAATMCAGGTTCTGGTAAGTTAATTCTTTTATTTATCTGATGGGACAAGAAAAACCTAAAATCCTTTGGTTGTCTGTCCTATTGTAGCCGTGTTTCTCAGGTTCATTCAATTTCCTTAAATAATATTTTCRTATTTTAATTATCTCTTTTCATACAGTCGGTTTGTTTTAATAAATTCATATTGATTAGAAACTACTTAGATCAATTTTATTCATTAAAAGAACAATATAAGTCAATATTGAATACTGAAGTGTATTTTCATGGTTAATTTTGCATCAGCAAATATATTTGTGTTAATTAAAATTGCTTGATTACATTTCAGGTATGTTCTTTAAAGATTTTTCATGGTGCACATCTTTGCRAAGCAGATATTTAAAATAATACTTCAGAGGAAAATTACAAATATTTCCAGGTTGAATCATCAGCAAAGATGTGAAACAGAACAAGACAGTTTACTAGTTCTTGTGGCTCATCAGGGCAACGCTGTGTTAGAATTAATCTGGAAGAATATATGCATCCTCTTCTATACCTTAGATAAATACCATAGAGGAATTGATTAAATACTAAAAAGAAACCTGGTTAGAGCAAAARAGATATTTTAAAGGACCTACAGACACTCTAAAAGAATATTATAATTCTCTAATTAAAATTATCATAATCACTAATCAAAATCATCAATAATCACCCTCTGGACACACAGAAAAAAGGATAGGTATTCTGATTCTCAGTCGAGAAACCTGGGCAACATTTAAAAGTTATTTTTCTCTCAAATGCAAATGTGATATCCAATGCAGCCATAATAAAGGTATGCACAATATTTACAGATCTCTAGAAGCAAAATCTTCCAATATTCTCTCAAAAACAWGGTAAATTCAGAAATAAATAGAATATATTCACAAATAAATATAATTAATAGATTACAAAGAAACAGCTTCTTGAATAGCTTTTTTTTACTTATATTAGTTTTAAGAACTTATTGGCTTTTATTCTTTGATGCTGGACATTGGCATAGAGTGAGACTGAGAGGGGAACACATAAAATTATTGTTCACTTGAATGAAGCCCAGTTAACTGAAACAAATACTCAAGTATCAAACATGCTAAAGAGCATGTTGAATAAATTAACCTTAAAACATACCTAATGRCTTCCATTTTAGTCATTAAGAATTTTGGAATACAGACAGCTACCTCCTCCTGGGACATAAAAACAAGCACYTGGTCAAGAGAAGGAGTTCATAGAAATGAACTAAGGAGCAGGAGTGGAGAACTGCCTGCAATTAGAACAGGTAATTGTTCAGAGGGGTGGCAGGGAACAGTGCAGCAGCTGAATCTTGCTGGAGATGACTGACAGAACAGTGTGATGACCTCTATATACTTAGGAAGAATTTTAAGAGAAATTTGSGGGCATTGGGCTGCCATTTCAATCTGTAATACTGAAGACAGCCAAAATGTTTGGCCCTGAGAGCTGTAAGCACAGGCAGGCAAGAGTCACTTGTACTCAGCCTTTGCAGGGTAAATTCAGCCGCAGGCAATCCCATTAATTAAGTCCAGAAACACACAGCCAAGTATGAGTCTTCTGGCACAGGAACAGTATGGATTTCTGCTTCTCACCTTAACAGGGGAACGTGCCACAACACGTGCAGCTCTGTTCATGTGCTTAAACTGTGCAGCATGAAGGACATGACAAARCCAAACTGACTCTGTGCCACTGGTRACCTTYCTATGACCAAGACACCCATCAAGGGAAAAGGGGATCCCACACATCACACCTYACATGTGAGGACTTAGAGAATTTTTTGTTTTCTATTTTCTTTTTCAATACTGAACTCCTTAATATGCTTTTGYGAACACAAAACCTTCTCAACAGATTTACTCAATGTCTGCAAATSTAAGTAGCTAAACTGAAAGAGCACTGGGGGAATCTGCATCCTATGCAGATGGAACTTTTCAAAAACAATGCTTTTGAAAGGCAATGCTGATCATTTAAAAAGGCATTTCTGTAAAATTGATTAAATAAATTATGTATTTGGCATATGCACAATAATGATAGGAAAATATTTTTCAGAAAACTAGTTCAACTTGGTAAATGTTTTGGCAGTCAGAGCAAACTTGAAAAACAAGTTACAAATGGAGCCTTGATSCTGGTTTAAAAAATCTCCTGATTCTGGCTTACTTAGTGAGTAAATTATACTCTGCTGTTCCTARCACACCTGTGTTTTAAGTGAAGCATGAAAACAAAATGTTCTCAAAAAGGACCTGTGTAAGTTTTTGGTGTGGGTTCTCTCTCAGTTCCATTGAGTATTAAAAACTTGTACACAGCTTGGTAAGAACTATTTTCAGCAGTAAGTAAAATTTATGACCCTTGTGGTACTTACATTTATCTTCCTCACAAATTCTTTCTTCTCCAGAGCACGCTGCCAGCTATTTCTCATCCCCTAAGTATTTTGCTTACAACCAAATCAGAACACTATATCCTTTAAAGTGTATGGTGGGTGTTTCTTCCTTCAGGAAGAGAGGAATGCCAGGGATGGGGGAAAATGCTGTATTGCATTTGAAAACTCACTTGCACAAGGTTGCCTTTACTTAAAAAGTTCCTTCAAACTCAATCACACACAACTYAGCTACATATTCAGCAGTCTAAGTTTCTTCTCTAATTTTCTCATGYTCTGGCCATCAGCTTTAACCACACAGTTTTACCTGCAGGAAACCTTCATTGGGGTTTTAACTAAACTGCTTCCTTTCCACGGATATCATTCAAAGTGCAAAGCAATAAGGAGAATTGCTACAGAAATGCACTTTGYTCATCCATCCATTGAAATATATGAACTCTTAATGGGGAGTTCTACTGGAGCAATTCAGTCCTTAAATCACATCCTTTTCCTTCACAGATCATAGCTAGGTGAATTTGGCAAGTACTTGACTTACAATTTAACTTACATTTCTCATCTGACCATCCTTCCCGCTGCACAGATTTAGTCTACAGCTTCCGAACAGTGAAACGGTGCTTTGCTGCAAGAACCATCCTGCTGCCTACAACTTTCTGGGAATGAGCCAGTGGTTATGAAATACAAATTTAGAGTGCAGTGAAAAGATAATCTAGGGTGTATGAAAGCCAAGACTCTTTACTTTCCACTTCCTTAAAAGAAAGGAAAAGAATAGTGTCCTATCAATTCCTTCCAATTCCTCATTAGAATTTTTGAAAAACTRAGAAGAAAAATTCTCAGAAAACTTGCAGTGTTAAATAAATGTTATTTAAAAGCACATTTTCCACCACTGCATGTTTGTGCCTCACATATTTAAAACAATATACGTTAACAATATACACATTGGTTTATTTACATGTTTGTGCAAGAACAAAGGCTACAAAACAAAGTAGAAAGCAAAAATAGAAATTTGCAAACAGCACTGAAGGACATCAAATCCACCTCAGATTTTTGTTTATGTTATTGTTTAATCTCCATATCTCACTTGCAAAAAGTTGAAAATAACCTTAGAAAAATGTTCTTTTTAGGAAAGACCCTAATCAACATAATTTTTCAGAAGCATTTTTGTCTCTTACAACTCCTATGAAAATTTGAAAAAAAAAAATTTGATTAATTTGAAATTTCAAGAAAACATTTCAGAACTAGACAAGCACATAAGCCATGCAATTATGTACCTTGCCAAGTTTTTCCATGTCTTGATAGTATCCTGCTGCCTTTTTCTGCTCCTTGCTCACTTCTGAAACCAATCTCATGATAGTTTCTCTGTTAGCTTTGGACTCYATCTCATGGACATTCACAGCTTCTTGAAGAGCAGCAACCTGGTCTTTTAGTGCCAGATTTTCTTTRCATATTTCAGAGACCTTGAGAAACAATTCAAATATTAGTAGCTTTTTAAAAGCACTTAACAATTAAATATATTCATCCCAGTTATACCTGCTCTTAATCATGGCAATAAAGACACGGTGTTTCTGGTGACTTATAGCTACTATTTTTTAATAAAAGGAGTAGAAATACAATTAAAATCATGGGATCATATTCTCCCTATAAACCCCCACTTTATAATACTGTGATTCACATTTACTCCCACACAGACTTCATGATGTATGAAACAGGTGGAGAGCTACTGCTGCTCCACATCAATGTTTGACTTGAAGCAGCTCAGAAAACAGCTGCAGCTGCTCCATGTGAAAATCAGAGACCATTTCAGCCTGGCTCTTTAGGATATGTGCCTTTCATTGGAACCAGAAAGCTGCACCTCATGCTCGAAACTTTTTAAGCACGGGAGATTTGAGTTGATAACAGATCTTTCATAACCACCTTCAAGGGCAGGGCCAAACRCCTGATGTGCTGCCATTATGAGCAGCCAACACCTTGGAAAAAGGAGTCCTTTCCTGGAGGGTTCTAGGGCTGGTTTGGTACATTCTGCTATTCCCAACAAGTGGAGCAGATGAAAGTGGGCACTTCAAAGAGTGAGCAAAAAATGTACCCTGATTCCTACTGGCAAGACATTTGTTAAGACTAAAGCAGATCAGTTCTGTCATAAATAAAACCATAATGTGGAAAGGAAGCTAAATAGATGTGCCAAGACCYCAGAAAAACTAATTGTTAAGTTTTACTAAGGCACAGTTTTCAGCAAAAACTAGATTTCCCAACTAGATTTATTACTACATTGTTAAAAGATATCAAGATACAATTTTAAAGCTCTAATTATTATCTATTAATTATTAAGCTATGCAAGAGTTCCTCTTGCTTGACAACTAGCCAAATTTTGTTAAAACATCAATTACAATTTCAATGTGCTTGCAATATTTTGTAATATTATGAGGGCGTACACTCACTGTGATACATACCTAGATAATCTTGATTTATTAAGACTGTGCTCTTACAAKGACATGAACATAGTGAGGCAGAATTTCCCCAAATTGCCATTGTGCTCCAAAGTGAATAAAAATAGGGGTATCAAAGAGTAGAAAAAAGACAAGTGAAATGCATCAAATTAGAAAAAAATGTCTTTCAGCAGCATTGATAGAGGTTAAAAGAATATACACATAATTTTCCCTTCCTAAATGGAAGCTTAGTTTTTGGAACTTCAGAAGTAATCTAAAGAGAAATAATAAAGTTTTATTATTAAGTCTCARAAACACCACAAAGTTACTTACAGTGTTTTATTACACAGTTAGGGTTGTTTTAGGGCATGCCATTTCAGATGTTTGTATTTAAGGATACATCAGCTCAAGATAAGAGTTAAGATCTAGTGCTACAGTTGACACATCAACTGTTGACCCCCATGTCAATGTTTGAGGAAAGTTTTCACCCCAATATCTAATCAGGGCTGTATGTGAGAACCACAGGCTGATAAAGTATTTCAGCTGATAAGAGCAGACTGAGTTCACTGAGGTCTAGTACTGTTCAGCACCTTTGAAAATTAGCCCAACATGAAAAAAATCTTTAAGTGATAGCACTGTCTGCAATAAATACAAAGATCTCCATCACTTGCTTTACTTCTGTGACAACTRAATATTTTTCTGTTAAATCTCTGTAGAGAAACATTTGCCTATACAATCACCTTTGATGTTAAATGTTCCTGTGGTTTCTCCTGTTCTCTGATGTCTATGTCCAAGAATTCAGAAAGCTGTGTAAGGAGCTCTTCATACTTTTTGCTGATTTTAGAAGCTTGAGTCATGTTTTCTTCACACTCATTCAAATATTTACTAATCAGATAGAAAAAACATATACACATCAGGGTGAACCCTGAAAAGGAATTCTAGCCAAAATACATTATCCCAAGACTATTGCTAGCTTCTGCATACCACCAAATGAATTTTAAAAGTTACATTTAATTCTCTATATCTGTTATGTAATACAGATTACTTTTGCWGTTGCCTTATGCGTAAACATTTCGTCATCTTTGCTTTTGATTAACACTATAAAAAATCTTCTATGATCCTGTTCTCATTCTCAGCATAAAATTTGAATAAAATACAATAACTGAGTGACACGAATAAATAGTGCCCTCAAGATACTAGAAGTGGAAAGTGCAAGCAAAAGCTTAGAAAAAGGGGGAAGTGAGTGATCAACGTTTAGCAAAAATATGCTAAAAGCACTTCACATTCCCTCCCTGAAGAGGCTGGCAGTGTTGATTAAAAAACTCCAAGGAAAGAGAAGCCTTTCTGGACTAATGGAAGTGTGAGCAAGCGCAATGTACATCCAGAGCAGCAGTGAARGGAAGTTTACCAGCAGAAGCAGAGATGTTTTGCTGTTTTGCTGTACATTACTCTGAGCCGAAGCCATGAGAGGGATGGATTAAAAAAGACAATATTTAGGGGCTACCACAGAGATATGAAAAAAAGGAGCTTCTTTCCAGCAAATTCATCACTCTCAATAGGTGCCTATCATGCAGATACATATCCTGTTCTCAGCCTTAGCAGCAGGTATCAGTTTGTAAATGCTCAGTGAGAACAACCAACAAAGAAGCAATAAAGAAGCAATGAATTTAACTCATCAGTACAAATGTGGTTACAGTCCTTTCCTTGCCAGGGACAAAGATGAGTCCAGCAAACAAAAATCAGCACCATAGGCTGCTTTAGTAGCAAACAGAGGAAAAATATTTTGCTCATGGTGCTCATGAAAAACTACAAAGAAACAGATTAGTAGAAACAGCAACCAAACAGAGCTCAAAATGACCACTAGTGTAATCCAAATATCAACTCCAATACCTCTCAGTAGCACCCACAAGAGAAGTACTTCATGGCAGAGTGTGAAACGTGGTAGATTGGTAGTGGTAGATTTGCAAGACAAATTATTATGCTTCCAGTTGAAAAACGAGGTTCTTTCTAAAGCAAGTTCTTTACTCTAGAATAACTCAAGACCTGAAATGTAACCAAAAAGCTGCCTAGAGCAAATATTTTATTGAAACTCGTTTGCTTGTGAGAGAGCAGCCCAATTCTCAGTTCTCAAGGTGGGGACAGTAGTAATTTCTTGACTCATTCGTTTCCATTTCTAAATTCTTCCTCTCTAGGCTGGCAGTCAAACAACGCACCATTCCATAATCACAGAGCAGCATCAGACTCCCAGAGTAAATGCACAGTGAGTGCAAACACAGTACATGGAATGGGTATAAATCAGTAAACCAAACAGTGAAAAGATTGAACACATATCCTTAGGAAGGAGCTCAGTACAGATGCTGTAAATGCTGCAAAGTGCATGGGAGTGCCAGAATAACAGAGAGGAATGGAAAACACTAGTTGTTACTCTGGACATTATGAGGACAGTTCCACATACTACTGCACAGCACAYACCGTGAGCCAAAAGAGCTCTGCCTTCTACAGCAGACACTGTCTCTCACACCACAAGCACCTCATAGCTTCCTCACCTCTGGACACCTTCCTTTCCTCTGTAGCCCCAGCAAACCTAAACCATGAGAAGGTTGCTAAACTGCTGTTCTGAGGAGGGACATGTCAGAGGTGAAAAGGTGTTAGGCTCAGGCATGCCATATATGCATGCCTACATGTCAGAATATCGTATAAGATTGACCATCAACCCCACAACTTTTCTGTGGCTCTAAAAAATTGAGGTATCCACACACAAAACCATGCCTGCTTCTAAAAATAAAAAATCTGAAGTACAAAGCACTCACTTGATAACTGAAGAATAACCTAATTACCCGCAGCAGGGCCATAAAGGTGTGAGCACCTAGAAAATAGGCAGTCAGGTACTAAAAAGTAGAACACAGCTTTTTCACAGTTTTGCCAGCTCTTCAGAACTAATGAGCAAAGAAAAGGGAAGGGAAAAGAAGAGAAAAGCTTTTGACAGTTCACACTCTAAAAATACCATGGCAATAGACCTGTTGAGTAGAAAAGCACCATTTTCAACAGGAGAGGTGCACRTCCTGGAAGCCCATCATAGAATTGATCAAACATTTCTTACTATATCCCCAAGGTATAGAATGTAAATAAGCACTTCATGCCTGCTGGCTTGCTCTTCCCCTCCATTTGTGGTTTTTAGCGAAAATCATTTTTTGAATACCTCATTAGGACTAGACACGTGCCAAGTACTACCAAGGTGGCCAAACTGAGTGACTGAATCAATGCATTGGTTCATATGAAGTGACACATGCAACCATTAGATGAGGATAAGAAGCTTTGAAAGCAAACATTGCACATTCATGACCAATCCAACATGCCTGTTCCTTCTAAATGAGCAGACTCACTCTCCCTTTTTCCCTCCTCTTTTGCCAGAGGTCCAGTGGCACACTCCAGATGCATAATGAACCAGATCTGGGATTGGTAGAGGCAGAAATCAAGTTTTTATTTTGCTCACTTCCCTTGGAGCAGTCCCCTCGTCCTGACCATCATGCATCAATATGAACAGAACTGATTACACAAATGTTGTGGGCCAAAGAGGGCAGCCAGGACTGCTCTGGGAGTGASAGCAGAGATTTATTCCCATAAAATTGATTGTATCACTATAATGACAAGCGTCATTATAGTATGAAAGTATGAAACACAGTATTCCAGCATTTTTGTCCCAGTGAGCTAGGCAAGCAAAGAGAATATAAGACTTTTCTTCCCTTTCTGTCTTCTCTTTTTTTTTTTTTTTTTTTTTNTTTTTTTTTTTTTTTTTCTATCAGAAATAGCATTTTAAAGAGCCTTAATATCCACTATGTCAGACGGTACTCTCCAGGCAAAGCTTTCACCAAATCAGCTGGTAATAAACAAGTGCACTGAAATGGTTTTCTCTAAAATCACTGRAATTGGTTTTCATTTTATAATTTAAAATTMATTTTAAAACKATTAAAATTACTTAATTACTTAGTTTCAATGCACAAAGCCTGGCAGAGCTGTGTGAAATACTGGTTTGGGAAATACATGCATCTGGTAAACACTCACCTTGCTCTTAACTAGACAATATTGATAAAGTCACAAATATTAGCCTGATAATGGGCAGAAAACTCCATTATAAAAGTCTATAGGGTGTCTATTAATATGACTGGCACTGACTTTGGAATTTTAGAGTTCAGKATATTTTCWTACCAATTAATTTTGCCATGAGTCRCCATCCTACAGACCCGAAACACGAGCACTTACATATAACTGGCAGATCAGTGCTCTGATACAGTTAAAGGATAACACCTTCATTAGTTTAATGCATTTCACCTTCAAAGTACAAAACACTCAAAGCTCCATTTATGAACTAACAGCCCAAAACAAAATGCAAATTTCAGCACCTTCCACACACTCAGGTACAACAGCTGTGCAAGGCACTGTAAGACAATTCAGAACTGCAAGAAAGTCTATCCACCATTGGATTCTGTATTGACAACTACACCATTCTGACCTCCCAAACAAAAATTATTTCTTATCTCCCATATCTCTTACTTAAGTTCCTCATTTTTCTCATGAAGTTCCTCCTTCAGCTCCCAATTTTCCTTGTGTGCCACCTGAGCTGTCAGCTCAGCCTGATTTTTGGCAGTGGCGAGCCCACACAGCTCTTCTTCCATCTCCTGGATTCGTGTTTGCAAGGAGAGGAGACGASACATCTGCCTGGCATTGTTTTCCTTGTAGCTTTCAGCTTCAGCCTTCAGCTCTTGAAAAGAAGCTTCTTTAGAGATCATGCTGGTCCTGAGTTTAAGAAGCTATAGATAGAAAAGGAGAAAATTAATGAAGATTTGTTTGCCTAGGCTGCAATAATATGACTGTGTTACAAGCTTAGTAATGTGACAAGAAACGTATTTCCATCACTGCAAGACTGAGYAGAGGGACACGATTTTACTTTCATATGACTGGGAAAAAGCAATAGAGGAGGTTTGCAAAAACAAAAGCTACTGCTGGGTAACAAAATACAATTTCTCAAGATTATATCTTATAAGGAGATAAGTTTATTTACTGATTCAGAATTTAGGAAAGGTCTAACTTAAGTTCTGCTGCMCAGCCTTTACTCACATCTCTTATGTATCTGCATTACAATAAAGTTATCAACGCCACTRTTCCCTCTTTTTTGCCTCTTTTTGCTGCCTGCCTGCCTTCAGTTCTGGTGCACAGTTCCACAGATAATCTATAGCTGCAGGGAGCTCWAATAGCATTCTGTTGTATGAGTGTGAAGACTTTTGATTATTTGAGGCATATTGAGAGGCAAATCAATTTTTGGAGGATTGTGTGGTAGGCACCCTCTTCTCATCTTAAACAAATTGTTATTTTTGGGAATGACAATCCAATTGAATGTAGCTGGATTTACACAGAAACAGCAAGAGAGCCTCTTAAGGAAGGGTAGGAGGAAGAGAATCAGCCTCAAATGCTAAAGAAGGATGATGATAGAGCTTTCCAAGAGTTCATGGAGTCCAGTAGTTTTTCCTCTCTCTTTTTGTTAAAAATACCATTTTCCATTGAACTACTTCTCTAGAGGCTTCTCYAGAAGACTGCAATTGAGGGAGACTCACCCAGCAAACAAAATTTTCATACAATTTTTTTTTTTTGTTTTTAGAAACAAGTAATTTGAAGTGGATTTTTTTTTTGTCACAAGAAGTCTCAAGGTATGCTTCAGCTTTCTTGAAAATTCCAGTGTAAGGCAGCAAGATGCAATCTGAAGGATTTCTGTCCTATTACATGAAATTAACAGGCAAACAATTAAGCCAAGGTAACTGCTCTTTATGATGAGTGATAGAACTTTTAAAGTGTGGCAAACATTTTAAGAGATTAAACTGCAGTTCAGGACAATGGGGAATTCACTTCTCTATTTGAGCCTTTCAGTATGACCAAACCAAAAAYACTMAGARAAATACTCAGWGCCAACAGAAAGAGCAACTGCCYTGGAAAAGAGAGGTCCTGCTTCTCYTCTTTCCAGCCACAYGTGCCTGTCCTCTCCCTTGCACCRGCTCTGTGTTTGTCTGACTCCTCCACAAACAACCTAAACAACAACTGATAGAAAAGAGTTCCCTTTTTCTCTGGCAGAGGAGAAAGTGTCAGCCTTTGCTCTGGCCACCTCGCAGAGCAAAGGCTGACACTGAGAAGCCAGGTAGGAGTATCACCCTTGCAGCAGAAGCACAGCCTTTGATAAGCTCATGATTCATGTGCAAGCGCTGGTTTTTCAGACACTCTGGAGCTGACACAAAGCAGCACTGACTGAGAAAAGCAGCTTGGCTTTTTCCTGGGTTCATGGGCTTCATTGCCATACTCCACCTCCCCTTGGTGCTAGAAGAAGCACTTATATGGCTATGAGGTGAAATAAGACTAGGAAACAGATCTGGCTAAARAGCAACTCAAGAGGAATTATTTTTTCAGTTGCACTGACACAGCAGTGCATCATAAAAACTACACACACATCTGTGCTGGCACCAGGGGTGGGGCAGTGTGGGGAAGGAAATGAGCAGCTRAAGGAACAATAGGATTGCTTTACTTGGCATCTGGACCAAGCTATGGTATCTTAGACTGTACATAACCTTAAAATTTCTCTGTGGTTCAACTCCCCATCTGATATTTTTTCCTCTGTCCATTGTCTTTGTGGTCAGTTCCAATAGCAGAAAAAGCAAGAATAATCCCATATCATGACTTTTACAGAGCACTCAGCAGAACAAAGCWCTGACCTCAGCTGGGTCATGAAGGTCTTTATTAACAAGAGCATGAACAGCTGCTTTTTTGACCATGCTTTTGCAAGCACAGTCTTGAAGAAGAAGAATTTATAAATCAGTCAGACATTCTGGCASTAAAGCCATTCAACATTTCCAGTAATAAATTCTTTGTATGAGAACATGAGATTCTGTATGGTCTTTTTAAAATTGAAATTTAAAGCACTGATTCAGGATAAATGTTAAATGTAGGGGAACCCTGCAGTAACGTCAGGACCAACTGATCCAGTTAAACCTCAGCCAATGGACACTTGTGCCTGCAGTTCTGTATGTAAATAAATGCAATGTAATGTAAATTTGACCACATTTGCAGTCAGTCCACATTGCTGACTTTGATTAAATCACACTTAGTCAGTTATATTTTTTAAAAAATACTGTGGAAACACTGAAGCTCTAAAAATTAGCCTTTAGTAAATCTTCTCCTGAGAAGCACCATCTACACAGCAGGAAATCATGTATACGTGTTCTTCAGCCTCTCTAGTTCTCCAATCAACCTCATTAGCACAAACACAGTTTCACTGGTGATGAAAGCAAAGCAAATTTGGGGAGCTGTTACTTGAATGAAGGGCAGAAATGAATAAAGATGAGCCGCTAGATCTTAACTCACCAGCAACAACAGGAAGGTATCTGTCAGAACTTTCACACAACCACAACTYAGAAACACTGATTTTCAGGTTTAATATAAAAAGATTGCACTCAGATGAAAAGCTAGACTGCTTCAAATCTTTCAAATATRAACTTATTATCAGTTCTTGATCACAGAAGGAAGCAAAATAAAAATCATACAGACATTCTAAAAACATTACAAAAGAAAATTCCAGAAGTTCTGCAGCAAAAGCAAGTTTTGGACTTTCTGCAAGCTTTCTATTCTCTACATAAAGTGACTGTAAAGAATCCCCAAGTTTGTAGAAGGATTTGAAATTATTTTTAAATGCACCTCTGACTTGGCACAGTCATACTTCACTGAAAGTGCTGCAAGTTCACTTTGAGCAGTTTCMGCTGCAGCTCGATAGTGATTCATCTGCTCTCTAGTGACAGGAATATCCAAAASAACGTGATCATGAGATTCCTGTGAAGACAGCATGAAAACAAAACCATCAGACATCACATTTTTTGGACATTTTTGCTTCAGAGCTTTTTTGTTTTAATCTGTATGATTAAGCTGCTCAAGGGCATTAGTCCAAATATGTTATTCCCAGAGTAATACACATTGAAATTTAGGTTAAACTGTCACTTTTCTACAAGTGACCACTTTCATCTGCAAGTTCAGTCACGAAAACCAGTGCTAAAGTGAGATATTCCACCTCAAAAATCCCATGACCACCAACTGTTTTCAGCTCTGGCTATTTCCAGCAGTTTCTGTGTCTTTAGTAACATTCGAAAGATTCCTATTCTACAAACTTATCCAGTCATTCTTTCAACCCATACAAACTGTAACCAAAGGGAGTTCTCACATGTCTCTTATGCAAAGAATCACTTTGGTTTCTAGACTTCAAGTATACTACACGTCCCTTCATTTTTATTTTAGAAGAAATGTTGAAAAAGCGATGGCTAACAATCTCCTTTGTGCCACTCATGATTTTGCAGATTTCTCATCTCCACAGTCTCTCTACCAKGTTGAAGAGCCCATGCCTACTCAGACACTTGCATCTGGTCCTCCAAGTCAGTTTTTGGCTTGTCATTTGCTCTTTTACTTCTAACCTGTCAAGGTTAAAGTCCTTTTGAACTCCGTTACCTGGACAAAATTTCAGCTTTCTGATGATGCTTTCTCATCCCTGGATATCACCATACTGACTTCCTTTCATTCTTTTTCAAGTCCTGATTCCATGGAAAGCACTGCCTCTGTCTTTCTAGTATGGTATCCTTCACACCACTTGTACAAGCCTTTCAGGAAGATACTGTAGAATCTAAAGGRTGCTTTTAGTTGTGCCCTTTAGATTCTACATTAGGCTTTCTCCTTTTTGTGCTGTTCTGCTYTTCTACAGCAGAGCAGGAATGCACTGGATTTCTTGACCTTTTTTACTTAAGACTTCCAAGAAGAAAATTCAGACCTGAAGTCTTGACAGAGTTTCATTAGACAGAACTTTTTTTTCCCAACCAATAGTAACTATAAAATGCTGAAATGTAACCTCTTCAGAGCATAACTAARTCTAGGTTATGCTCAGAGCACACATGGCCAAGAACCAAACATGGGACTTTTACTCCATCAGYTCTCACACAGGACTGAAATAAAACTGCAGTCCTCATACATTTGGGCATACATTAAAAAATGTAAAACACCCCCAGATAATGACTGCTGGTAGAAAAGTATATTCCAATGAAGAGAGAGAGATCTTCTCTTTATGTTTTTCTACATAAGCATCAGTTTCCATCCTGGCTGAKATAAATTACAAGTTCAGTCCCTACCCATTCTAAATAGGAAAAGAAAATAAGAGCTTGAAAATCTGTGAACATCGAGTAAAATAAGCCTTTACCATGAAGTGCTTAGAGAAATGTCTGATGAATAAAGAAAAGCTACTAGTTTAGACTGTAGCAGCAGATAAATCACCTTGGATTAGTTGCTATAATATCGCCAGCTCTATTCTTTAATCTTTCTACCCTGTGCTAGTTGACACTAGATTAGACCCATCAAGTTTAATTGCATTCATCTCCTTCAAAGACTCAGCTGTGCTCTTTCACAAAGGAGTTGCCACTTTCATCAAGCCAGACTGACACATGCAGAAAACTCACGGCCACCTAGAACACAGCACATAATCTTGGAGATAAAAGGGCTGCTGATTTTCTCAACACTTTATCACTGTTCTGAGGGAGTAAGGGAAAGCATGTGCCATCTCCTCACTACTTTTTTCTTACTTTTCCTTCACTTCACTTTTTTCTTACTTTTCCTTCACTTCACTTTTTTCACATGTACAACCATATGAAATTCTTTAATCTAGAGGGCATTTTTCTCATTCTGTAATACACCAGGGTTTCAAAACTATGGAGATTGCAAACAGGAAAACTGTCTATGCTGTTTCTGTATGTTATTACATTTGTAATACTGTATGAAAGTAGGTTTTTCCTTTTCTTCCCTAAACAAACACTACTTATGACTTTACAGAAAGAAGGAATACATTTCAAAACTGATTAAATAAATACATTTCAGAGCATAGGTGAAGAAAGAAGTCCCCGTTCAGCAACAAAAATCCATGTAACAGCTTTACAGCTGAAACTTCCAAAATTATGTTTTTCATGAAAACTAGATTTATAAATGATGAGCACTTTAAAGATGCAGCTAAACATGCAGAACGATTTAAAAGTAGTTTAAACGAAGCCAGGTGAAAAAGACAATGGGAATTCCTGTTTCACTTACCTACAGTCTTAGTGAGATTTATGGAGACAGATCTCTGTACCCTCCGGTGCCTTAGTAAATATAAAACTAATCACACATGGTAGTACCCACTAGGAATGTTGGTATTATCATCATACTTTCAGCAGTGAGTGTGCATGCTTTCATATTGAGAGTTTTCAATGCTTCTGTGATTTGCCATCAGTCAGTCACAAGACTGATCTTTAATCAGACCTATCAGACAACACAATCAACTTGGCATGACTGTACTACAGGGATAAAATTGGTAATGCAGGTGTGGCACTTTTCTATCTCTGGAAAAATTCAGATTTGCAATGTTTCGTGAGTGATATGTAATCTGTACTATGTAATACGGATTTTTTGTTAGGAAAATAGAACAAATGAAGTGTTAAAAGAATAAAAGACAGTAAATGGAAGAAGTCTTAACAGAGTAACATTCAATCAACTCTAAATAACTTAGGCTTTGGGTGTTACTCCCATTCACATTCTTATTTTTTTGATCTTTTTCCACTTACCTGCAAGAAAATGAAGYTTTCATTTAATTTCACATGCTAAACAGAAGCCAAGCCTATACTTACAATATTTAAGAGCAGTGTCTACTTGGACCTTCAGTTTTTTTTAGTAAGAGAGGTTCTAAAGAAGATCAACAATGGTCCATGTTATCGTTGACCTTTTTTTTTTTTATTTTTTTACCAAATAACTACCTTTATCTCCCTGTAATCCAGCCTTTAGTTGGCAAACTTCATTTGATTCAGAAACAACAAACATTCAGTAGTTTTATACCTATCCTTGTACTTTGAAATACGCCAACCATTCAAGTCACTCACTCCCATCCTGCTTTTGGCAGCTTTTCTGTGATTTCCTGCTGTGTTTCTTATTTCAACGCTAGCAAATGCTGGTACCACTGCCATTTCCTGCACATAGYCAAGACCCCTTTCCCAAAACATATATTTTTAAAAACTTTATTGAAACAGAAAGCCCCAGTAAGTATTTAGGCACCCATCACCACCCTGAGTGATTTGTCTGTGTACTGCTGTAGACCGTGCTCAGGGCAGGGATTTAATCTTCCCCTTCCCAAAGTACCTGAACACATGGGGGCTCACAAACCAAAAATGATGACTCACGAACCTTTGTTGACTTCATTCTTCCTTTGCTTCTACAGAACAAATGGAGGAAAGAGGGAAGAAAGGTTGAAAATTAAACAGATTTGTAATACGATGGCACAAGACATTATTTTTGCACAGACATGCTTTACTAAACTATATCATCGGTTACCATCAGCAAAGTTGGGCATGAAAGCAAGAACACCATGGAAAGGTTTCTCTGGCAGCCTGTGAGCYCTGATAGCCTCCACAGTATTCAAACACACATTTAACCCAAACAGACAACTTCATGGTGACTTGTCCAGATTACATTCACCAGTTCAGCTACACAGTCAGCCATTGTGCAGTGATTGCTTCCTTTGTTACTGCTTTTCAGGTGTTACAAGTTTTTATTTCACCTCTCCTTTTGTCCTGCATCTCTCCTACACTGTTATATTTTAAAAGGAAAAAAGTATCTAAGCAGTAACACAGGATCTATCTAAACTGAAATACATCTTTTTCCCCCCTCACATGTTAAGGTAATCAGTGGGCCCTGTTTACCTGCAAGTTTATACAGGAGTTCGTACACTGGTTGGACTCAGTAGGCTATTCAATGATTTCTGTAAATCCCAGCATCACAACTATCCCAAATCTGCAAGGTTTTTTCTTAAGACAAATCAATTTTTTTTTTCATTCATGAGTGCATATGTGCATTAATATGTTCTAACTTCTGAAAATACAATGAAGCAGCAGGGTTGTATTATTATTATTATTATTATTATTATTATTATTATTATTATTATTATTTGCTGCAACCAGAAAGAAGATGACATCCAACATGAAACATCGGAAGGAATGGGTAGTTGAAAAATTTCCACACCTGGCTACTGCAGATTTTTTCTTGGTAGCAGCAGCCAGCCAGCTGCACACAACAATGAGTATGAGAAGGTTCAGACACTATTCTACTGTTAGTCAGATTTTGTTAGCACATACGAAAACAGAATCACAGAATCAGTGAACTTGGAAAAGGCTTCTGAGAACATTGAGACCCAACAAGTGTCACCTCCAGCCTTTACTTAAACACTGCCAGGRATGGTGACTCCACCACCTCCCTGGGCAGCTCATTCCAATGCCKAAACMCCCCTTCTGTAGAGAAATTCCTCCTAATGGCCAACCCCAAAGTTCCCCTGGCACAGCTTAAGATTGTGTCCTGTTGTCCTGTCACTGGTTACCTGGAAGAAACCAACCCACTGATTGCAGTCACTTCGAGGGAAGGGAAAAAAGGGTTCACAAATTAACCATCTTGTATGTATATTTTAGTCTTCTTTATAGATAATGMTTTGCCAAATTTGACTGTCATGGACCTCAAAATGTATTGATTAAGATATATTAACATAAATCAAAATTATCAAGCGATATTTCACAACTATGTCAGCTCTTCACTTGCTCTTGCACATTAAAAAGTGCCAGAGATACCCGAATACGTTTGATCACTTTCCACTCAGTAAAGTCTTATCTGCCCTTGTTAATCCCTTCTTGTAACAAGGCCCAGCTCATTGATTGCAGTAGGTTTTTTGTTATTGTTATATTCCTGTGGAGTTTTTCTGYGTTTGTATAATGTTCCAGAAACATG